AAACTATTATATATAAAATATATATATATATATATATATATATATATATATATATATATATATATATATATATATATATATATATATGTACGAATGTATCTGGAAAATTGCGCAGCGGAATTTATACCGGATCGTCAAAGCTGTTTGCGTTATGTCTCTTTATTTGAATCGAAGTTGTATAATCTGCGTTGTTAAGGCATCAAGAGGAATAAGTTTCTCGACACGACGGCGTTGTTCTCCGTTCTAAAAATCTTTTCTGTATGTCACTGTAAATGGATAATATCATGTGTAATAATAATAATAATAATAATAATAATAATAATATCAATGATCCTCGTTCCCCGAATCTGCCGATAACAGTCCTCGAAATGTCTCAGAATAAATAAGTTCAAATATTTTATTATTAGAATCAACAATTATTTCATCAGAGCGTGTACTACAGCCTTCGCGTTCAACGACTTCAGATCCGTGTACGTTTGTCCCGTGCCAACAAAAACGATTGGTTGTCCGGTAATGTACGTCATAGAAATCGCCGCGCCTACCTGTGAAATAATATAATAATAATATATAATATATATATATATATATATATATATATATATATATATAATAATATATAATAATATATAATATAAATATAATAATAATAAATAATATATAATAATAATTATAATAATATAATAATATTATAATATATAATAATAATAATATATAATAATAAAATATCGTTGAATATTACCTTACCTTATCATCGATTGTATCAAACTTAGTCAACACGATCCCGTCAATGATATGAGGATTGCTGGATTGACTGTGATCAGCCAACGCTTGATTGAATTTCACTAATTGATCAACAGCTTCGTTGCCGACGAGAGCTTCGCCGACGAACAGAACTAGATCCGGTTCGTTCACTTTGATCAACTTGGCCAAGGCTCTCATCAACGGCTCGTTGTCTTGCATTCTGCCAGCAGTGTCTACCAAGACTACGTCGATCCTCGAGTCCTTGGCGAACCGGATCGCTTCCATGGCTATGCCAGCCGCGTCTTTGCCGTACCCTTTCTCGTACAGCTGAACCATACATTGATTCTCATGCTTCTCCGGGGGATGCAGAGCGTTCAAATGACGCGTATGAGTCCTCAATTGTTCGACCGCGCCGGCTCTGAAATTCCAATCAGCAATTAACGAATTTTGTTCGAAGTTCTCGATCGTTGTACAATACGCTTCAAAAATAAACTAGTCTCCTCTTTGGCATTCGAATATTTCGTTCTCTCGGTATAAATTAGTATACCTAATGATTATAAATGTTATTATAACCCAATGTTATTATAAAGTGTCCATGCTGGAGTAATACGATCACTTATTTCGAAAAAGTATTGAATATAAAACAGACTTTTATATATGGAAATTAAAGAGAAAACACAATTGTGTGGTCGATGAAGATCGACCTTTCTTTTCATTATTAAATTCGAAGTTAAAACGGCCAAATTTTATTTTTGAAATGTAACTATTAACTACATATATGTAATGGAACACTTCGACTTTCCTAACTACCGTGCATGTTATCACGATTTGGGATGTCCTCAGCCATCCTGCGATAATATTCGCCCTCTGTCTCTATCTCTGTCGCGTACTCACAGCGTATCATCGTCATCATTTCGGGGGCACCATTTACTTTCGTTATTTACATTCGTTAATATCATTTGATAATGCATTTTTTTAATTCGACCCAAGAACCTATAAAATATATACTCGATTTTGAATAGTTTTTGAGATGTTATGCATACGAATTAAACAATTAAAAATAAGTATCGATGACCTAGAAAAACCTATCAAGTTCATCGTGTTCTTTCTTTGACTACTTGAAAACAAATTTTTATATTATTATTAGGTTTGTAACATGTAATAAAAAATATGTTTCCATTTGAAAAAAACGAAACTTCGCCATCTCTTGCATTAACAATGTAACAAAACTTATTTTCATTGATCGTAATCGCGCGCACCATTTTATTTCTAAAGTTTTTGTTGTATATGAATACTTTTAACAGATAATTAACCGATCACATAAGCGTGGACACACTATACATACATACGTATAATGATAAAAGATAAGTAGAATGAAAAGTACACAGTGCTAGATATAAGATAATGACAAATCAATTACTATTTGATACAGAGCAATCGTTAATTCATTTCATTTCAAATTAGTTTCTTCAAAATGCCAATCTATGAATTTCTTCACTTCTTCGGAGTGAAATTTAAAAAGATATGGATTATATTAAAAAATCATATTGTTCAACTGTTTAGGGATAAATACACGTACTTTCAAAATATACCGTAAACTGGTTCACAAAACTAATTCTGAAATAATCATACCTGAACGTGTCGCACGCAGCGATAAGCACGCGGAAATTATTTTCGATGAGCCAGAAACAAATTTTTGCTAGATTCGTCGATTTCCCCACGCCATTGACCCCACAGAAGGCCATCACATATGGTCTCTTGTCCTTTTTGGCTTCTATCGCATCTCGCAGAACGTCGACACGCCTTTTCGGCGATAATATTTGTACCAATGCGTCCGTCAAGCTTGCTTTAATGGTATTGGTGACGCTGTCGAATGTGCCGAGCACCTTTCCCTCCAATTTCACACCAACGGAATCGCACAATTTTTGGGCAATATCGGCAGCTACGTTTTTCGCGATCAAATGATCCTTCAGTTTCTCCAAAACTGGAGCCATGTCGTCGTACTTCAAGCTCTTATTGCCAACCAAGCTTTTGAACATGGAAAACATACTACTGGATTTCTTTTGTACTTGCGGTTTGGAATTTACAATTTCCTTGTTCGATTCGTCCTCCGACTCGCTTTCTACTTCTAAGTCGCGGATGGATCCCTTCATCTGGCCCACTAACTAAAAAAATAGTGTTAAATAAGCTTCAGTGATTAGCAATTATTAACCCGAACCATTCCCAATTACCCCAATTTAACATTCGTAAATAAACATCTACATTAGAAATTTTTGCATTCTTTTTAGGGATTGATTTCACCCTCTGAACAGAGTTCGTGTGGCATGAATAAAACATAGGTTTATGTTACAAATAAGTTATTCTACCAATATAAAAATTGTTATAATTTTTTGATGATGTATAAGAAGAAAAATATATTAAATTAATTAAGTAACCGATGCGGGTTGACTAAAAAGATCAAAACATTGAATGGTGCGAAATTACTGTTGTATCAGCTGGCACATAATCTCCACCTTCTTCTGGCTTGTCTTTGGTGCGCTCTAATGTAGCTAGATCCTTGGTGGTCCCACCTAATTCCCATACACGAGGTTTCTTGCCAGCTTTTTCTTGTTTACGGCTCTTCCTATAAATTAGAAATCGCTAATATCGCGGTGTTAAAAGTCAGTTTCTTAATCTCTAGTATGATGAACCTACTGCTTCTCAAGTTTCTTCTTGTGAGGGTTCATGCTTTGAGCCAATTTCAAACGGTTTGCGATTAAAATGTCTTCACCTATTTCCCCGTTATGATTATGATTATTTGTTTGGTTATTTTGTACATCCTGCTTTGGGATCTCATGAACTTTTACTAGAAAATCAAATGAAAATATGATTAAAGTGAAATAGTTAATTCTATGAAATACAAGGTACGCGCTAAAAGTTCCACATAAAAATATCTTAGATACGTTAATAAACAAAGTTGTGCTAAAGAAACTAGTTCTTCCAGAAATCCAGCTATTGTTAGTATTATTATAATCGTTTGTTCAAAAGAAGAGAGCTGCGATACCCTGACAGTTGTGAATTTATCATGATTACGGTGCAGTTAGGTATACAAGCAATAGCGTATGTTAAATCTCTTTTTTTGAAAAACAGGTTATAGCTGGAAACACGCAAGTAACACATTGCATGTAAAATCCAAAACCACTTACTTTGATCATCTTTATTAGTATTAACTCCCCTCTTCTTTTTACCTAGAAGCGAAGAATAAGATCCCTATATCCTGTTAGTAATACCCACATTAGAAAGAATACTACCTAAATGATAATTGCTTGTGATAATATGTAAGACAGACTTCTTCGAGAACATGTTAGAAGCGACTGAATATCTTTTTAGAAGTCCTCCTCAACCTTGCGAATTGTAAATTATTCTATGAATTGTATAAAAGATAAAAGCTATTCTCTTCGGAATTTGTTGACATAAGATAACAACACACTATTGTACAAGAAAGAAGAATACTTCAGCAAGATATTTTAAATAAATATAAATATTACTCTAAACAGAGATTTAAAAGTATCCATTACATACCCTGTTTTTTATTATCTTTATCGTCCTTCCGTTCGATCATACTAGCAACAGTCTTTTTGGACTTTTGACTCTCGTCGAACGTACGCATTTGTTTGGGTATTTTAGCCTGTATCCGTGCCCATTGTTCAGCCATCGCGAGTACATTCTCATAATTACTTTGAAATTCAAATTTACAAAACCATTGAGACCTTTCCAATTCATTTTTAAATCTGTCTCGGAATTCTAAATGGATATCGTTTAAAAATTTATCTACATAAGATAATTGCAGTATTTTCTGGTATGCTACAACAAATACCAGTTCAAACTCATTATCGAGTTTGTATTGTAGACGTAACGAATCATGTTCAAAGGTATGATTTCCTGTACGCTCCTAAAAAGAAAATCATTAAAAGTTTCGACGTCAAAAATATTAACAATATTTATCGCAGCTCCAATTTAACGATATAATAGATCTTATAAATGATCCATGAAACAACAAAATAGGACGATGACAAAGGAACTAGCGAACAAATAAAATTATAATTCATTACTGTAGAAGGGCCAAAGTCCATCGGATGAATGATTGGTATTCGTGCCAAAATTTACAATTAGAATATTAATTTTAAACATCTCATGGTTAAATTATTGTACGCGAAACGTCATCCTTCTATTTACACTTATATTTCACATTTCATATCCAGTTTACGTCTGGCCAAAGAATCCATATGGACGGAGTAGAATTTAAAAAACAACAAAAAAAAAATAAGAAGCCTTAGGAAAAACACTTACTTGCAATATGACACTTCGTATAAGTGCATTAACACTAGGAGCAAATAGTTGCGAGGTATTTTGGAAACACCATAGTACAATCCCCCCTTTACTAAATATAGTAAATAAGTCGAGCATTGTTGCACTATTTCCTATAATAAATGTTTGTCATTCAACACTTAGTGGTCTAACCTACTGGTGATCGCGCAATTTAATTTTGTACACGTCAGTTACTGCGCGAAACATAGACCAAAAATGTACAAGAAGGCACGTTGCGAAATCAAAAAGTTATCGTCCAACTGAAAAACCCTAGGCATATCACAGACGAGGTATCAGAGTAGTAGACTGGTCACCATGCGTGGTTTCGTGTCACATGTTTTGTGAAATGTGTTTCATAATCAGCGTTACAAATATTTGTAACGTCAAAGTATATCTCTGTTATTCTTTATAAAGATATCTGAAACAACGAATTTGTAATTTTAATGTGACAACTACTTTGTGTTACAACTACTTTTGCGAAGATCTTCGTACGTACGTTTTACATAACACACTTTAAGGTTAAGGCGTGATCCATGGCCAGGATCGTGTGCACGTGCGTGTGCATCTAACAACTTCGTAAGATATTGGAATCTGATGGAACAAAAGATTATTCGAAATTAATTTGTATCCACATACATGAAAAAATTACGCTGAAATGGCGTTTTTTAAACAGTTTACTTTCTTGCGCCTTCAACAAATACGATCATTTACTGAACGTTCATTCGAGAAAGTATATGTACCACGCAACCCGTTGAAGTTTAAGGTTTACGTTACACGTTTGTATAGATATAAATATAAAGAAATATTATCGAAACTTGAAGTTCCAGAAGAAGCATGGAAAGAACTAAGGGAAGACATGCTGCAAATAAAACATATGAGAGAATTTTCACTTGATAATTTCATTATGTGCATATGCCGAACTTATGATTTCGCGCACGCAGGAATACAATACTACAAGTTATTAGAGAAGCAGGGTAAACCGTCTATAGTGCTTACTGCGTCGTATTTATATCTGTATGAACATTACCATGGCCCACTTAGTGATGTAGATAGAGAACATATTTTGGAAAAATATAAGGAAATTTCAGAAAACTACGACATGGTACATACAGATTTAGTTAATGCTTGCATCGTAGCATTAGGAAAAGTGGGTGATACAGAAGAATGTATTAAAATTATTGAACAGTTTAAAAAGCATGTACCAAATGAACATCTTCATAAAGGATACTATTCGTTGATTACATGTTTCTTAGAGCAAAAGAAAATAGATCTTGCACACAAATATATGACTGAGCATTTTAGAATATCTCGTAAACTTGGTTCTAATGTATATAAGGCATATATAAAATATTGTACGAAAGATAAGGAACATTTTCATGCAAGAATTGAAAATTTATTTAAGTTTTGGGAGGATTATGGAATTCAGCCAACTTGGAGGACTATGGAAAGTTTTATAAATGCATGTAATAAACATGGTTGGTCGGCGGAATTCACGAAGCTACATGAGTATTTTATATTTGGCTATATTATTATATTACATATTTTATTTACACGGTATTATCTTAAATGTGTATACTTTTTATTATAGCTCAGTATGTAACAGATGTCAAATGAATGCATTGGAATCAGGTCTCACGGAATCAGAATACATGTCTTTAGCAAAACATATTATGAAGAAGCTTGTTTTCGATAAAGGCTATGAGATAACCGTACCAAGAGAATGGGGTAATTTCACACAGTTTTTGGATAAGCACGGACCGTATGATATCGTTATTGATGCATTAAATACTATACATTCGTACGTTAACAAAACCAATGTATACTCCATCGATGGCGTAAGTAAATTTTGTAAAATAATTATTATAAATATATTATGACTTTCTCGGTAACATAAACCTTTTATAGTGTCGGTTTTCAGTATCGCTAACAATAGCGAAAGATTTATATAACATGTGTTAATTATTAACTGTTATAATTTTTCAGTTGCTACAAATTCTTAAGTATGTCAAAAAACACAAAAAAAAGACACTTGTAGTTGGAAGGTTACATTTGAATAAGTATAATGAGCAGCTTAAATATTACCGAACCAAAGCAGACTTTTATTTTGTAAGCAACATGTGAGTGCTGTGACAATATATATTTAATTATCTTTATACTCGGTATATCATGTAATAACTAATGTGTTTTGAAAATTTTAGATCGCAGGATGATCAATTCGCATTATATGCAACAGTGTTAAGTGGAAAGAACGCTATACTGATATCTAATGACTTTATGCGTCAGCACAAATTTCTTTTGGGCCAGTTAGGAACATTATTTATGAAATGGCAACATCTTCATCAGTATACAATTAGTACAAACAATAATGAACTTAATATAACGCCACTAAGCGGATCTAACCGAGATATTCAACACAATTTAAATTCATGTGCTCAGAAAACAGGAGTTTATTGGCATATATCATATATTACAGGAGACGACAAAAATCAAAGTTGTACAAATTGGGCATGTTTTAGAATGCCTGAGTTACAGACTTAGGCAAATGTAACATATTTATATACAACATTTTACAACTGTGTTATTCACTATGAAGTGTATATGAAATATATTATAAAAATATGTCTGCACGCTTGAAAAATACACATTTAGAAAGTAAAAGGTAGTTCGTAAAATCGTATCTATAAACAATTTTTCTTTTTAGCAAAAATATGAATAAAATTCATTTTCGTCTCTAATAGAAAACGTTTCTGTTAATTGTTGTAATAATAATTATTGCTACAACGTTGTTAATTGTTGCGATATCGTGATACCAAAATATTCTACTATTTAAATGTTTCATTCAAGTTCTCTACCAACTGATAATGTACCTAAATAATACGATTATTCGAGCCTTGCGGCACGTTTTCATAGTTACCGATTGTCNAAACGCGTGGTTTGTCTACAAAACAATGAGACCGAAGCTATGTGTATGCGTGATCGCAACAGCTAGTCATCGAACTACGAATCCAGGGTTATTACGCTTGTTAGGCACATCTCGTATCGTGTAGGATGAAGTTGACGACACGGAAAATAGGTACAGCAATTTCTCCCTAATTGTGTGACGTCCAGCTTATTAGCAAAAATGGACAATTTGGGAAGAGGAGATACTATTATTCGAGCCTTGCGGCACGTTTTCATAGTTACCGATTGTCAACAACCACAACAAATCACACAGTAATCTTTATTTCATCTCTGTTGGTAACATCGTACCATCGCTAGGTAAATATTCGTTATAAGTAGAAACGGTGCTTACGTTGTGCAATTCAGATATGTATGCATTTTTTAAATCTTGGTTACCATTGATCTATGCAAGTATTTAAGGGGTTCTTGCAAATGTACGAATGTTCCCGAGGTGATCATAAAAGTTAAAAGAAAGTAAAAATCAGCAGCGTGAACGTTTTGCTAATTCTGCATCCGTTCAAAAGTTGTTAACCATTGAAAATCGGTGTGTGAAAAAATAGCGATTAAATAAGTCTGACAATAGTGACTAAATAAGTCAGCAAGGACATGAATTAATATCAATTAATATAAATATTCGAACGCTGATTGTCAACGTCTGCGATAGCAAACAAAAAAAAAAAAGAAAATTAAGAAAAACAGAAACGAACAAAGAAATGGTAAAATGCAATGCAATTAAATCTTCTCCAGAACGATGCTTCACGTATCGCAATCACTTATGAGAAGTATAATTGAGCTTCGATTTGTTCGAGAATAATATTTTGCTAGTGTTAGTTTTTTTTTTAGAAAATTTCTTCCCTTAATTACATAATGCTACGTCTTGTTCCCCTTCGTTAAGTAGTATATTCCGCGATCTACTCACTCTTTATGCTCGCCAAATGAACTTGAACGAACCAAATGCATCTCTTATATACACGGATTTCTATATTTCTTTATTAAAATAACCAACGAATTCGTGAGGTGTTTTTTGCTATACAGATTGTTGCAAATTAATGTCCGTCATGCATACAAGTTGCTTAAATTTCGCAATGCTACGTTTGAGATTAAGAAATCTACTGATCATGTATAGATATATAGATCTATAAATCTATAGATCTATAGATCGACGAATCTATCATCTATGGATCTATAGATATATAAATCTATAATCTATAGATCTATAGATCGATGAATCTATTATCTATGGATCTATAGATCTATAAGTCTATCATCTATAGATGTATAAATCTATAATTTATAGATCTATAGATCGATGAATCTGTCATCTATGGATCTATAGATCTATAGATGTATAAATCTATCATTTATAGATATTTTTGTGAACAATCTGAGCGTCAATTAGGGAGAATTTACTGTCCTCCCTCCTCGACGATTTCCGATAATTGTAAATCGCGTTATTGCATTCGTCCGAGAAAATTCTTCGTACGACACTGTAACAATACAAGTACAATAACGAAAGAGAAATCGTGAAAACATTTAGTCGTAGAATGTCTTGTGACACTGAAGCTTATAAAATTGCAACATTTCGGTCAGGCTGTCCGTGCATCGTTGTTTTTTTTTTTTTTACTTCGCGGTGAAACGATGCAGCAGTTTCTTATCGTAGCGAAACTTCGCGACGCTTCACTTCACGAAATGTGCTCGCTTACGGCGATAGCGGAACAGCGACGAAACATTTTTAACCGGTCACAAAATCTGTTCGCGTCGCGAAATCCATATTTTTCCACAATGTCGCATAAATTGCATTGTGCGTTCAGTTTTAGTTCGCGAAAGGCCATTCATTCGTCAGCAATTTACTGCTCGCGTGATATGGCCTATATCCAATCATACATAATAAATAATAATAATAATAATATATTACTTATTAATGTATTATATATTATATATATATATTATTAATAATATAATAGATATATATTATATATATAATATATATCAATTATATTATTATACTATTATATTATAATAGATTATTATATTATTTCTCTTATGATATATTTTTTTTTATTAATAATAATATGTTACATAATCGAAATACAAGTTAATTTGAGAATATCGCAAGCTCGTCGGTAGCTTGAATTAGCAGAAATTGAAACAGAAATTGTGGCAGTGTGTTTCGAGTAATTCATAATGCTTCTATTGGGATCGGGTTCCCGCGAGAATGATACACAGAATCAACGCTACGATCAGATGTAAAAAATGCAATGGCATTGATTTCGGGGATTCGTACGGTGCCTCGGGAGAATCCGCTTTTATAGAAAAGGAAACGTTATGGATTGCACAGTTTCCAGGTAGAGATCGTAAAAACTTTATGGCTGTGGCTGTCTTGTCGAAGACGAATGTGCGAATAGCGCTGCACATTCTGGTGCATCGACTGCAGCGACACATTGAATATTTTTTTGGATATCGAAATCTACTCACCGAGGGTGGGGCAATAATTCTGATTTTTGTTGTTTCGATATGATATGATATGTTTTCAATGAGATATGATAATGGTAATTACAATATGACGATGACGATGACGATGACATTGACAATGGCAATGATAAAATGACCAATGTCAATGACAATGATAAATAACGATTACAATGGCAGTGATAATGGTAAATGACAATGACAATGATAAAGAACAATGACAATGGCATAAGATAAATGATGACAATGACATTGACAATGGCAATGATGAAATGACAATGACAATGACAATGATAAAATGACAATGACAATGATAAATGACAATGATAAATGACAATGATAAATGACAATGACAATGATAAAATAACAATGGTAATGATAAATGATACATGATAAATGTCGATAACAATGACAGTGATAATGATAAATGAGAATGACAATGATAAATGACGATTACAATGACAGTGATAATGATAAGTGACAATGACAATGATAAACAACAATGACAATGGCATAAGATAAATGATGACAATGACGTTGACAATGACAATGATAAAATGACAATGACAATGACAATGATAATGATAAACGACAATGACAATGGTAAATGACAATGATAAATGACGATGATAATGATAAACGACAATGACAATGACAATGGTAAATGATAATGATAAATGACGATGACAATGACAGTGACAATGATAAATGACAATGACAGTGAATATGACACAGTGAAAATGATAATGAAAATAACAACGTAAAATGATAATGACATAAATATAACGGTGAATACATCTAATACGATCTGAATATTGTTCATATAATTCGAATATAATATGAAGTCGCAAAAATAATCGAAAAGATAGATATATTCTTTCATTACATAATACTATGTCATTTTAGTCGTCGCTGTAAGATTTAAAGCTTCAAAAATCCGAAGACATCATGTTCACTCGAAAATGAACGATTGTACCCTTATGTTACTCTGGTTACGAAATATCTCGCGTCTCAACGTTCGTTACACGAATACTATTCACGAGATATCTCGCGTTGCAATTTCTATTTTCCAACGACGACCCCTCGTAACTTGACGTAGCGTGACGTTTTAAATCATTTTACGGAGTAGAAATGAGGAACAGGTGATCTACTGAAGAAAATCGTACATCAAAATTTATGGGATCGCTGTGAAGGGGGGGGGGGAGACTTCATTTTTCAGATCTGCATTAGAATCAGTCGCGAGAAAAATTGCCCGATGTATCGATAGATATTTATCTGATCGGCAATATTTTCAAGAAAGAGCACGAAGAGGATGGTTCGCATCAAAAACAAGCAAAATCTACATTCTCCCAACTAATTATATATTTTATATTATAATTATTATTATAACTAAATTATAATAATAAATAAAATATAATATTATTATATTATTATATTACATTATTATATTATATTATATTATTATATTATTATTATAATAATAATCATTAAATTATATATTATAATTTATATTATATACATTATAATTATAATGTTGTGTTATTAATTAACATTAAACATGTTACAAGAAAATTAACGATGCACGATGAAAAAGTAGAGTCTTCAAGCTTCAAAAGCCTTGCTAAAATAACCCCGTAGGGGGTGGTTTCTTGGTTCAATAATAAAAAGAAAATAAAAAAAAGTTTTAACCTTTTATAGCTCTGTGTAATTTAAAAAAGGTCACGCATACTAATCAGTATCATTTATCAATGATACCGTTCGCAGAGTGTTAACCCTTTGCAGTAGATGCCGTCGCAGTGGCGGCATTCGCAAGTCGTCGCGAAAATCGGTGCCGCCAGTCCGGCGGCAAGATGTACGCATATATAATAATTAAACAGGACTCCATATATTATAAAATTTCCGTTGAAAATTTCAATTCATTCTCACCAATGCATGCATAATGTATAAAATAACAAGCCACTAACACACTTGAATTCTGTACAATGTTTTCAGTCGATGAATTATAGTAGGAAAAATGTCCGGCGCCAAACATCATCGCCAGAGCGCAAAATACCAAAACGCCGCACTCTGGAAAAATTACATAAATGAAAAATTGACATTTTTACGTATCACATGTGCCATTAAAGACGACAAATCAGTCTCAACGAATCCCGCGCTCTTTAAAATCCATATATTCGCTTTAAATCGCCAAGGGCGAGCTAACGCCGAGAAGCTAAATTTTCTCCTAGACTAGCTTTCAAGTAGAAACCAGCTTGCATCAGAGAAATGTGCCGATCGCAAAGGGTTAAACCGCGCCCAGCCTCGCCAACAACGAGAATCATCTCCGTTTCGTCCTTAACGTTCGGAGACGCCGCGGAGCCGTCGAGTAACTCGAAAAACCGAGACTCTCGGCCCCGCCCTCCGGTGCGTCGCCCAAAAAACGCACCCCCGCCGCTGGAGGACCGCTCCAACCTCTCGAAAACAGTCCCCGAAAACTAGCCGTTCGATCTATCTTCATCCCCGTGCCGATTCCGCGCCGGGAAAATCGCATTTCCGCGTGAAACGCCTCGACTCCTCGCCGCGGCAGGAAGCGGCAGTCGCCTCTATTCGCAGGAAAAGTCCGTTCCGTGTGCACGGGCCAGAGACTGCGCAGCATCCCCTCGTCGAGCACACGGCTGCCACGCAAACAGAGGGCACCGTCGCGGAGATAGGGGAAGGATTTCGGTTTTTAATCCGTGGGTGTGGATACGGCGCGGCGCGGCGCGGCGCCGGGGGATGACGGCGGCGGGGTAGTTCTCGCGGCAGGGGAGTACACGCGCGCAAAATCCGCGCCGGTCATCCTTCCGCGCCCCTCGCCCCCCTGCACCCTTTTTCCGCCCCTGTTTCTCGCGCACCCACCGCGCCGCGCCGCCCCACCACCGACCGCCCCGATCCATCCCTTCCATCGTCAGACGTTCCGGCATCCTGTTCTCTCACACCCTCCGTCCTCCGCGGCAGGCGGGGGTTGCTTCTGCTCGCCTAGTGAGATTCGTCGGGCCGAGTAACACGTGCCAGAGGAAACAACACCGCGGGGCGAGCGTACTCGCCGATCTAAACGCGTTTCACCGACTCGCGTCTCGTCGCGATCGCGCGTCGGTTAATCTTCGCCGGTCCTCTGACTCGCGGGCCCGACATCGCGAATTACCAGTGATTCACACAGTTCGTCCTACGAGATGTACAGTGCGTCGTCGTGATAGTGACTCCGAGAGGCTGGCTAATTAAATCGGGGATTAGATCGATCGCCGCGACGAGTTCGATCGATTTGGGATCGCGCAGTGATCCGCCGCGGAGAGGAGCGCGGAGAGGAGCATCAGGTGATTTGTGGCTGTGAACCGTGACGAGCGAAGTAATCCAGCGTTCTCCGGGATACCCGGGGATTGTTATTATTATTGTAATCATTGTTAGTATCGTTATTGTTGCCGGGAAGCGCGTCGAGCCGCGGCAGTGATTACTCGGTGCTCCGACTCGCCGACCGTTCTCGCTTCGGTCGAGCGATGATTCTAGATCGATATCGCGGTTTCGCGATGTCTGGACGACGTGCCAGCATCCGATCTTTCGTCCGACGTCGAAACGGCTGTCTTTTTTAGCCGGCGCGATGAGTGAAACGCGTTTTTTACGCGCTCGCGACGCGGCCCGAGGCGCGTTTCGCAGGAAGAGCGGCGGAGTTAGGGTCGGAGATCAGGTTCTGGAGCGGGTTTCGAGGCTCGGAGGTGGTTAGGGAAGAGCTGGGGGAAGGGAGCGACGTTGTGGAACGTCGATTTCGTTGGTTTCTTGCGGTTCTCCTCGGCTTGATTGCTAAATTTAGCGAAGGCGCGGCGTCTCGTCGCGCGGTTTCGGCTGCGGAAATTCGTCGCGAGTCGTCGTCGCGTCGGGCAATCGCGATCGCGATCGCTGGAATGATTTTCTGAGAACTCGCCTTTGATCTCGAGAGATCGACGGCGATCTTGATTTAGAAGCGAGTGATTTATTTACGGGAGAAGAGAAGAATGCGGCGCTCGCGCGAGCATAAACGAACGAACGAACGAATTCGGGTTTGCGAATTCGAAGTTTGCGCTCGAATTTAGAGCACGCCGCTGGTTTTATTGTTTTGTCGTCGCGCGAACAGGGGATGCGCGATGTTTTACGGGGATTTAGGGTTTTAGAGAGTCGCGTGGCTCGGTTTTTTCCGTGTTCTCGCGCGATTTCCCTATGAGAATCGCGGCCCCGAAAATCGAGACTTCCGGACTAATGGGATTAATGAGGAGGGAAAGGATCAGAACGAGGAGAGCGCGGTGCTGAGCGAGGGCTACTTTAGGCGCTGACCTTTCGACAATTATTGACCTTCTCTCATTGATCGACAATTAATGCTCGTGGAACTTAATTTTATCTTCCGCTGTGATGTTGCGAGCTTGTTGGAAATTCGGTGTTGTTCATTCGTCGTTTGTGGCAGTAGAGACAGGGCATCGGGCGTCGTAGCGAAGTTACTGTTTTTCTGACGTTTTTGTTACTAAGTTTTTAGTGAATGTTATTTCATGATTTTTGTTACAGTTCGAACTATTAAACGATTTGATTTGTTCGAGAGGTTCGTGCTTGACATTTAAAGGTTTTGATACTCTTAGTCAAGATAAGTACTTGCAGTCATGAGAGAATTTCTATTTTAATTTTCATGCGTTAATTTAGTTTTTTATTGAATATTATTTCATGACTTGTGTCACAGTTCGAACTATTAAACGATTTGATTTGTTCGAGAGGTTCGTGCTTGATATTTAAAGGTTTTGATACTCTCAATCAAGATAAGAACTTGCAGTCATGAATCTCTATTTTAATTTTCATGCGTTAATTTAGTTTTTTATTGAATATTATTTCATAACTTGTGTCACAGTTCGAACTATTAAACGATTTGATTTGTTGAAGAAATTCGTGCTTGATATTTAAAGGTTTTAATGCTCTGAATCAAGATAAGAACTTGCACTTCTATTTAATTTAATTTCTATTTTAATTTTTATTATTGTCTTTCTCTTTTCTTTTTAGAAATGTGTTAATTTAGTTTAGTTTATTTTTAATTTTGATTGCGTTTCTTTCACCGTTTTCAACGAACGAGACATTTTGCGATATTTTAATGCATAACGCTCTTGTACTTAACAGTTTACGCTTCAATTTACAACGTGATATTTACACTTTTTACATGTATTATTACTTTTGCATGTGAAAGCTTTAAATTCGACGTGTGTATGTTTCATTTCAATCTGCTAAACAAATATCGGGGCTCGCAGCTTATTTTTTCATATGTATATATATTTTTCGAAGCTATTTTTCTTTATAAAATATTGAAAATTGAAGTTAACTTTCTATTGATTCTTAACAATTAATATTATAATAAAATATATTAATATATTATATTGTATATTATAATAATATTGTAATAATTTCAAGATGGCCGTTCTCAAACCGTCGCGAAGGATTCGAATTGGTGACTCAGAATTATTTTAGCTGACTATTTTTTAAACTGTTTTATTTACCTGAATATTTATTTGCGAAAATTTCTAAACGAAGAGAATAAATTTACTGGGATCTTCGAATGACTCCACTTCGTATTTTAAGGGTTCAAAATAGAAATAATATCTTAAACGTTTGTTTAGTAATCATTGATGTTTTTAATTTTAATTTTTGTCTCAGTAATTATCGTTCGGCTGTATTTCATTGTTTGGAAAACAATATCGATGTTCTGGCCGCAGATTATTCATTTAATAAATAATAATATTGCAAGTAGAAACGAAAGGCTTCCGAGAATATTTAAAATTATATATTTTATATTTAAAATTAAAAACAGAAATCGTGATAGAGATTTTGAAGTTAGTTTTACTTCATCTATTTGTATTTCTGAAGACCAAAAAATTGGAACGAAAAGAACGAAAGAACGACGACGCAAACGTAACGCCGTCGATTGGTGCGAACCGAAATTTCTTTCTTGCCAAAACGATACAGTAATGTCTCCCATACTGACGCTCAGATTGTGCGCAAGGATGGACAATTTGGGAAGAGGAGATACGATTATTCGAGCCTTGAAGCTCGTTTTTTGTAGTTGTTGAATAAATCGTAGCTACGAAAACGAGCTACAAGGCTCGAATAATCGTGTCTCCGCTTCCCGAATTGTTCAGTTTCGTGGACAATCGAAGCGCGAATTAGAGAGAACTTAGTTTCCAAGTGTTTTTCTTCTTCTTCAATTCGGTCTCCTAGTTTCCAAGCGCGCAGGAAAATTCAATTTTAATTCGTGAATTTGTTTAACAAGCAAAACAGTAGATAAAGACAGTAATTTCTCCGAGGAATCAGTATTGAAACCGGCGGATCTGAGAATACTAAATCGCGAGAGACCAAGAAACTAGAATCTTAACGAAAGAACGACGATGCGAAAGTAACGCTGTCTATCAATTTGTGCGAACCGAAATGACTTTCTTGCCAAAGCGATGATCTTTCTTTTTATTGCATGCGAAATACTGCAGCTCGCGGATTATTGTTTACGAGGCGGTGGTCGGTCAACGATGGTCAATACTTTATAAAGCGTGTAACATGGAATTCGATAACGAGCTGATTCCGGAGGAAAGTCTTGACTAATGTTCCGCCTTCTGTCTCTTATAATGACCAATCGTGGCGATCGATAAACCGAATTACACCGTGTGCTCTTGTTTGCGCAAGGGGGTGGCGGGGGAGGGCGTCACAGAAAGACTGGAAACGAGTTGAAAGCGGCGAGGGTAGACACCGACGGTAGTCAACGTTTAATGGGCGACGCAGTTGACGAACGGGTTATGCTGTTCTCGCTGCTGTTTCTCCCGGGTTTACGTGCATGACGTGTACTTATGCATTACAGTGTGTGCTCGTTAAACAGAGCCCCAGCGACATTGTCAACAGGGACGAATGTACTGCGCTCGCAAATAATTCCGGGCGCCGCGAGCGTCAGGATTTTCTTGTAGAATTACAGAAATTGATCAACGCGTAATTAGTCGTTCCCTTCCGCTTGGATTTGCTTTCTGTCACGACTATCTATGCGATACATTTATTTATTTGTTTGTTTATATCGGCATTAACGGGCTAAATTTTTCGTTAATTTTTCTGTAAAAATTCTACGTGGTAATTGTAACAATAACAATGACAACAACAACAACAATAATAATAAAACAATATTAAAATAATAATAAAATAATAATAATAACAGAATAATTAATTTTTTTTTAAATTTTTCTGCAAAAATTCGAATGAAATTATTGAATTCTAATGAAATTAAAAAAACAAACAACCTAAAACAACCCAAAAATCGAACGTATCTCACTCGATAAACCCAAAACGACTTAGAACACAGTAATTGGTCACCGCACGAGTAACCGGTCCCACAACCACCTCCCAAGAAAGCTACACCCCATTTGACATAATCGCGCTTCAAACAAAACCAATTCGCTACAAATGAACGAACATAAGTCAGTGCAGCCCTCACATAAACTCAACCCTCCCACAAATCCCTCTTCTCCCCTAAAAATCGCACTTCTCCAATCGCGCTCTATTCTCAAAAAAAAAAGAAAAGAACCACCCTCCAATTAAACATCCCAAATTTAACCATCGATCGAAGCTTCTCGAACGATCAGAGCCGTTCGCCCATCCGGCGACCAAACGTCGAACAGCCGGGAGATCCGACTCGGAGCGGAATTCGCGTGGGTGTTCCACGTTCGCTCGGGCCGTGCGCGCAGTTTATGATAATATTTAATCCAGTTACAAGCGAAGGGTGAATATAGACCGGGCGGCAGTCCGTACCTCGTGGTGGTTAGTCGATGTTCCGATGCACGGTGTCGTTGCTGCCGGGTAATCCAGTTATGCCCGAGCTACGGACGCCACTCGACGGTCTGCTAACGTTCCCGCGACCGAGTTTTCCGGCCGCTTCCAGCACTCGCGACTTCAGTTCGCGTTCCCGCGGCCGTCTTTGATCGCGCGGAAAAAAATAACACCCGCCGCTATTCGAAGAGGGCCCCGGCGCACCCACGCGTCGATAGGGCGCCGCCGAATTCGTCGCGCCGCGGGGCCAGTTAGTTAATCGCCTGCGGAATTCCGAAAATTCGTCAGTGCTTCGACCGCGCGGAACAAAATAATACCCGCCGGCATTCGAAGAGGCCCCCGCCGCTATTCGAGGAGGGCCCCCGCGCACCCACGCGTCGATAGGGCGCCGCCGAATTCGCGCGCCGCGGGGCCTACTAATTAATCGCCGGCGGAATTCCGAAAATTCGTCAGTGCTTCGACCGCGCGGAACAAAATAATACCCGCCGGCATTCGAAGAGGCCCCCGCCGGTATTCGAAGAGGGCCCCCGCGCACCCAAGCGTCGATAGGGCGCCACCGAATTCGTCGTGCCGCGGGGCCTGCTAATTAATCACCGGCGGAATTCCGAAAATTCGTCAGTGCTTCGACCGCGCGGAACAAAATAATACCCGCCGGCATTCGAAGAGGCCCCCGCCGCTATTCGAAGAGGGCCCCCGCGCACCCACGCGTCGATAGGGCGTCCCCGAATTCATCGCGCCGCGGGGCCTGCTAATTAATCACCGGCGGAATTCCGAAAATTCGTCAGTGCTTCGACCGCGTAAATTTCTCCGATTGTCGTCGTCGTCCGTCTGCCGGGCTAATCGCTCGTTAACCAGTCGATTACGCGACAGATTGGAATAGGTTGATGCCGAAGGTGAACGCATCGATCGCGAGGAGCCCAGCTTCGGCGTCTCGGTTCAGCGAGCTCGCGAGCTCCGTGATTAGGCTCTGGTTAGGCTCGCTCTCCTCGGATCGCTTTTCCACTTCAATCCCCGAAAATTTCAGGCTTTTTAGCGCCGATTGCTCGTGAGACCTAGTCGACGTTCGCTCGAATCGGCGGACAGGCGATCGCGGGAAAGGTGCGCGCTGCTCGCGAACCGGCGAACAAGCGATCATCGCCCAGCTGTTCCAGTGAACTGTCATCGTTCTTTTGATTTGCAACGATCTCAGTGCGCGTGGACATCGCCGGAGAAATTCGAGTGACCTAAAATCGCGACGCACCGCCGAACGAAAGTCTCGCGAATCGAAGCAACGACGTCGAAGGTCATGGCCGAGCCGCCGCTAGGACCCGATGGAGGAGCAGAGACATAGAGGGAAGATAGCCGCGGGAAGATCCAGCGGGACGATTCGTCGGCGTCCGATGATTATTCGGCGAAACGGAGAGATTTCGCGGGAACGTAATGGCCGAGCTCGCTCGCGTTTCGACGTCTCCGGCGTAAAGTCGCTCGCCGCGACGAGCCGCGAGGTACGCGGAGGTCGTCTGAATGAGCCGGGCGAACGTCCCTGTGGAAGGTCAGCCGAAGGTCGCCGTGGAAGAAGCTTTCGCCGCTGAGAGGAAGAAGCTTTCGCCGGGCGATGCCGCGCGCGGCCGACTTTTAACGAGCAGCGGCGCGTGGTCGCGGGATAAAAAGCCGCGGGGATGTTAACGGAGCAGGCTGTTCGGTGGTCGTCGGTGCCGGCTGGAACCTCGGGATCGAGATTACGTTAGGGAGCCAGCGAGGACGCGCGCGATTCCCGCGAAAAGATGGGCTTTCGCGCGAACAGATGACGAGGAGAGGCGAGATGACCGGCCGAGTCGTGGATAAATCTGCGTCCGCCTCGAGGCTACGACATTGCCGCCGCGTTGTGACGATAAATACAGTTGCCGTGGGAAGTGAATTAGACGATGGAAGAGTTTAGAGAGCGGTATCGAGCTGTTACATGGTGTCTTTGAGGGATGATCGCAGTGCCGCGGCGCCAGTTTCGGCGGAGCCGCGAGAAATCGTTCGCTGGAATCGTGTTCGACGCTCGGTGAACGCTGTGGAATACGATTGATACGACCGTGGAATCATTCTCGAGCGTTTGAACGCTCCGTCGCGCTTCTTGTTATCGTGCTACGCGGTGAATCCGGAGGAGTTCGTTGCGAAGTGACGCGTTTCAACGCCGCGCCGCGCTTGGGAAACGTGGAATCCGAAGATGTGGAAGCCGCTGACCGGGCGAATCGATCGATTCGTGGCTCGATGCTCGATGATACGGCTCGAAACGCGCTGTCGAGACGTTTAATTGTTCAGCAGGGTGCGAGCGGAGCGAGAATTATCGCGGCGGAAACGAAGCCGGAGGGTCGCGGAAGGAATAAAAAAATTGCGAGCCGGCGGAAATAAATACAGAAGAGAGAGATTGATTCGAGTCGAGACGGTGAACCCGCGGTGCGGAAAGGCGGGACGCGACCTTAGCCGGTGCAATTTGCGGCCTCCTTCTTTCGTCTTCTTTTCGCGAGAGGATTTTCATCGCGCGGCGCGACGACCGCGCGCGATGATCTTTAAGAAGGCTTGAGAGATCTCCGGCGCGAACGAACACGAGGATGTGCCCCGGCAGGAGGAGCATCGGGAGAATCGGACCCTTTATCGGGAACACAAAGAAATGAAGTTATCAGTGTCGGCTTATAGAGCTCAGGCCACTGCTCACAAAAAGATCCTTTCCAACTATCAGCATCAATTGAGCTACGGGGCCACTAACCAGGCATCCTCGGCCAGGATCCCCCCTGATCCCGTGACGTTCCTTACTGGCTTCAAGGTGAGTCGTTTTGCACGATACGTTCTTCCTTTATCGTATGAGGTATCGTAATCGTTAACGGGAAGGGAGGACGGTGGGACCGGTTACTGTGTCCTGATCGATTGCTGTGTCTTGGAATTAATTCGTTTCAATTAACGCCTCGGGCATAATTAACTTCATATTGTTTATATTATTTTGTTTTATTTATATTATATTTGTATATATATAATTGTATATTTTTATGTTTATATTTATATTTTATAATTATTGGCAACGCTAAAAATTTTCAGTTATTTATAATTGTAATTTGCAACCAAACATTGAAGTTTTATATTTGTCTATTGATAAATATTATTAAATAATAGATAATATTATTAATAGATATAAATACACAATTACGCAAATAATTTATTTGCGTCATTTTATTTGGGTGCCTGGTGAAAACGATTGATCGCATAAATATTCACGCTCTACTTGCGATTTAACAGAATTGTTTTTCTTTAGTTTGGACTTTTAATACTAGATTCACGGAATCTGTCAAAATGAGACGATTATTCGTCAAAATGTCGGATCACTAATTTTTTAATTTACGATTATTCGTATCGTGAAGATACATTTACGAGTTATTTATGCAATTTATACGTTGCTTATGGCAAATGTTGCAATAACGCTTCTTATTAAATTATTAACTATACTTAATAATGCTTATCTTATCAAATTAGTATAAAACAGCTGTTTCTTTGTGCTCCGTAAACCTAGTGTTAAATAAATANTACTATATTCTTATTAAATTAATAATTATTCTGATTAATGTCTCATCTTATCAAATTAATATAAAACAGCTGTTTTTTGTGCTCTATAAATCTAGTGTTATATAAATAATTAAATTATTAAATTATTATTAAATTATTTTTATATTCTATAATACATAAATATTCTATAATATATAAATTATTACTATATTCTCATTAAATTATCAATTATTCTGATTAATGTCTTATCTTATCAAGTTAATATATAAAACAGCTGTTATTTGTGCTCTATAAATCTAGTGTTAAATAAATAATTACATTATTAAATTATTTTTATACTCTGTAATACATAAATATTCTATAATATAGAAATTATTACTATATTCTCATTAAATTATCAATTATTCTGATTAATGTCTTATCTTATCAAGTTAATATATAAAACAGCTGTTATTTGTGCTCTATAAATCTAGTGTTAAATAAATAATTACATTATTAAATTATTTTTATACTCTGTAATACATAAATATTCTATAATATAGAAATTATTACTATATTCTCATTAAATTATCAATTATTCTGATTAATGTCTCATCTTATCAAATTAATAATAAAATAGCTGTTTTTCGTGCTCCGTAAATCTAGCGTTGAAATAAGAGCATTGCCTATTTCGAGATCACCAGATCGACCTAGATGGGTCTCGAAGGTCATCCGGGGTCATTTATGTATTTCTTAAAGTCTTCCCTCGCCGGTGCGCCTCAAAAAATGTTTCTCATCCTGCGCGTTTGAAAGGACGGCCTTGGACATCAGTGCATTGATTTGTTCTGTCTCTGAGTGATTTCTTCCACCCTCTCGAAATTTGCTGCGGCAATTTGTAGCCGGCCGTCCCTTTTCCGGGCGAATTGCTCCGCCGAGGAAAGTCTTGCGGATGCCTCGCAAAGGAAAAACCTTAAAATGGTTGTAAATAACCGGGCGTGACCTTCGAAGATTAACGCATTAAGCTGTCGAACTTGTTCCGATGGCGGATCTCGAAGCTGAGGGAAACAAACGACAAAACAGTAATTGGCTGTCGAGTTTTTTTTTCAGTTGGCTGAAACATAACGCGATCGAAAATATTATAATAACAATTAATATTAATAATAATTCTGTAAATTCGAACGAAAACTTAAGATTTTTGTTATATAATTGCTGTTTTATTATGAAGTACACGTGTACTTTTGCTAGTAGCATTTCTTTTTTTATTAGTTTCACGAGCGATCAAAGTCGCGTTGTTAAATTCGTTGTAAAACTAGAATTTTATTGTGTCGAAAATATATGTATATAATAATATAATATAATATACACAATATTATTCTAATATATATTACAATATTATTTTAATTTTTTTGAAGAATATTATATATGTTATAATATTATTGTAACGTATATATTACATAATATATACACAATATTACTATAATATACATTATAATATTATTATAGCATATATTACATAATATACACAATATTATTATAATATATATTCTAATATTATTGTAACGTATATTACATAATATACACAATATTATTATAATATATATTATAATATTATTGTTACATATATTACATAATATACACAATATTACTATAATATACATTATAATATTATTTTAATATATATTACATAATATACACATATATACACATATATTACATAATATATATTACATAATACACACAATATTATTATAATATTATTTTAATTCTTTTTAAGAATTTTCTACATCGCTAAGAAGATACGACACAGATTAGAACCAAACATGTGCCCGAATGCATTCTGAAATTATTCAATGCACAGCTCATTCAACACTGCGATACAAATTGTGCACAATGCCTAAGAAAACTAGGTTTATATAATCGTGTTTCTATGAGTTCGACTGATCTTGTTACGATACCTGTAATCGTCTGCAGAGCTGTTATCTGTCCATAATTTTGGGACACTCTGTATATCGCTTAAATGAATATCGATAAGTTATCGATAATTATAACAAATTTTTAATCTAAAATTTAATTATATCGGATCTTTGTTACGATCTATGTTATATAATTATAACAAATTTTTAATCTAAAATTTAATTATACTGGATCTTTCTTACGATCTATGTCATATAATTATAACAAATTTTAATCTAAAATTTAATTATATTGGATCTTTCTTACGATCTATGATATAAATTGTAATTAACATTTTATGTAACTTTAAGAATAGTTGAAATCGTTAATCGAATCGTAATTAGTAATTATATGATGAAAATTAAGTCACAGATCGAATATTTCCCGAGAACCAACGATAATTTGATTTTGTGTTTTCTGTGTCGGTGCAGCTGCGAGCACGCCAACTAGGAACGAGAGTATGCAGTCATAGAAAATGTCGAATAAATTGCCAGTGGTTCGTATATCGGCCCTTGTAAGTGTTGCTACCACATACCACAGTCGATTGCAACTATGTTAGGCGACACGAGAAATCGTCCCGATTATTTCCGTCCAGCATCGCAGTCCGCCCATGCAACCCACGAGCCACCCAGTAGATCACCTACTCGATTATCATTATTATTTGTTGTCCATTTGTTCTCCATTATTATTATTTATTATTTGTTGCTCACGTGATCACGCGATTGCGACGATCGTTGTAAATACTCGAAGTAGCAATTCTCTCTTGATTCCTTCTCGCCATGTTGGTATCATCGATTAGAGCTCGAATATGAGAGAGTTCCGTTCATCTTTTCTTTTCTCTAGCGTTCCTCGACCGTTTGTCATGTTTGTGTTCTCCCTATAATTAGTGTATATAGAAATTATATGCACGGTTCGATACTTTAGATGTACATGCATTTCGTAGAATTCCTATAAATACAGGGTGTCCCAAAATTATGGAAATAAGAGATTCCTGAGGTCATTTGGAACGACTTTTTCCTTTACAAAAATTTTCTCCGAGGTACTGTTCGCGTGTTATTTAGGAAACAAGGCTGACCAATGAGAGGCGATCGCGGCTGGCGCGTGACGGCCCAGCCAACGAGCGCGCGCAGCCCAGCCCCGCTGACTGGCTCGGCCGTCTCGCGCGCCAGGCGAGCTCGCCTCTCATTGGTCACTGTTTTTCGCTGATAACTCGTAAACGGAGCAGCGGATTGCATTTTCGCTGAGGAAAAAGTTGTTTCGAATCAGCTCAGGAAGCTCCTGGTTCCAGGTTGCGAGAGATTTTTGGGACACCCTGTATATCAACACTGTATCTATTGACAGAGAAACTGGATAATGTAGCAATTAATGCGACAAGTGCGAGCTTCTAATAGTTTTAAAAAGTGTGCAGACACTTTTGTGGGCCACTGTACATGTAACAGAAAGCAAGTTTCGTAATTCTTTATTATTAAGCGAAGTTAAGTAACTTGATGAAAAACATAGAGTGACAGTAATTATTTAATTATCTCATATTATAGTATATATTAATATTTTATAATATTATAAATAATATTTTATGTTATATTTGAAAAACTTCAGATTTTGTGGATCATAGAATGAAAAATGTGTAATGTTACGTATTGATTGTTTGTGCATCTTTCTGAACTATTTCTGTGTTTATTCCCTCGATCGTTGTTTATTCCCGCGTTACTCTTTATTTTCGTAATCTTTATTTTTAATTGTTTGCTTTCGTTTATCTTTAATTGTTCTTTATTTTTAATTGTTTCTTCCTCATTTGTTAGTCAATAGTATGAATAATAATAATAATAATAATGAATAATACAATTCATCATGAATAATACGCGATTATCCATCATCATTATTATTATTATCTTTCAATTATGGCCTCGTTCAATTAAGTTAACATCACTATAATAAAAATACAAAAAATAGAATCTCTATTTTTTTCTTTTTACTGAAAATTAGTATTTAAAATAAATAGCAGAAGTAGAATTCTTACAGAATTTTATTTAGAAAATAGTGATCTTTTTACTGCAGAGGAATAATTATACTTCTGCAGATTTGGTCGTAATTACGTTCGCATGATTTACAAACAAATAAAATCGCGTACGGCAAGATTATTTTGAATTAGCATAAGCGCGCACTATAAATGGTAAATAAACCTACAAACCGCGCGAATTTCGCGTCCAAATTTTGTCGCATTAAAAGTAAACATTAGCGGACGATTTAATCGATACGATATTGCAACGATCGTATTTAAAGCGATTAGCTGTGACAAACTCCTTGAAAAGTAAGTTTAATTTACATTTACAACCCCGG